CTTTTTTCGCTATTATTTTCCAATATAATGCTAGAAATAGTTTTTTATCACAGTAGGGTCTCCAGAAGGAATGAAAGCTAATTACTGGGGGAGGGGAGGAAACAAAAACACTATTCCAAGAAATAGAAGACCCTAATTAAGCCATTTCCACCCTCCACAAAACTATTTAAGACATTAAAAACTCACAGTGAAATGGGAAAACACAAAATAAATGTGTAAATGTCTATATCTTTCCTAAATATTATTAAAAACAATGAGGAAAGGTAACTAAAAAGAGATCTTGTTCACAATATCAGTGAATTATAAAATATGTGGAAGTTAATGTGGAATGTTAAAGGAACATAAAATAAGATATAAAAAACCTTAATGAAAGAATTCAGGAAACCAAATGAAGGCAGACACACAGCATGACTGTGGATAGCAGAAATGATACTTCCTGAATAAAGGTACCAATTTAACAAATGCCATTAAAAACCAAAGGGTACTTTATGTTGTTGTTTAGTCACTAAGTCTTATCTGACTCTTTTGCGGCCCCAGGGACTGTAGCCATGGACTGAAAACCCCATGGGATTTCCCAGGCAAGAATACTGCAGTGGGTTGCCATTTCCTTCTCCAGGGGATCTTCCTGACCCAGGGATAGAACTCATGTCTCCTGCTTGGCAGGCAAATTGTTTATCACTGAGCCACCAGGGAAGCAAAGTGTACTTTATAGAACTCAATAAAGTGATTCCAAAACTTTTGGAAAAACAAATCAGCAGAATTATCAAATATTACACTGTGGAGGGAAAAAGAACAATGAAGAGGAACTATCTTTGCTAGGTACTAGAATTTTTAAGGAAATGAATGGAAATGACATGGCATTAGTTCAAAAATGGAGGAAAGGGTAATGGAAAGGAATAAGAGCCCTCGTTTGCATATAAAATAATTTTAACATATGAACTCAGTCTACACAAATGATGGAGAGAGGAGTCATGATTTAAGAACTAGTAAGAAAACTACTACCCACTCCAGTATTCTTGTCTGGAGAATTCCATGGACAGAGGAGCCTGGCAGGCTACAGTCCATGGGGTTGCAAAGAGTTGGATTCGACTGAGCAATTAACACTTTCATCTTCAAGAAAACTACATATTATTATGAAGAGAAGTCAACTTGGACCTTCACCTCGCACTGCATTTTTATCCCTTCTGCAAAAAAAGCTGCCTGTTATGACTTTACTGTTTTTGAAAGCTGGCATTAAATCACTTAAAAGTTGCCAGCTGTTTTCTTCTTACAGGGGTGGAGTCATCAATTCATCTTTGGAAAAGACTTCCTTTGTTTTGGGAAAGTCACTAGAATGGCTCTTTTTAATTACACAAATGTAGAACAAGTATTCACTTGTTACTTTTGGAGGAAATGGAAGTCTCCCATAAGCTGACAAGTTTAGGTTTATTGGTGGGCATATGTCCTTTCAGAATCAGAGGGGAAAAATATATCTGTGTCTTCATCTGTTTGGGCTGCTGTAGCAAAATGCCAGACTGAGTAGCTTGTAAACAATAGAAACTTGTTTCTCACAGTTCTAGAAGCTGGAAGTCTGAGACTGTGGGCCAACATGATCTGGGGAGGGACTTCCTCGGTGTGGCGGACATTTCACTGTATCTTCATATGGTAGAAAGGGCTGAGGCTATTGCTAGAACTTCTATAAGGTCCTAATCTCATTCAGGAGGGCTCCTCATTCATAATTTAAGCACTTTCCTAAGCTCCCTACCTCCTCATATCATCACATTGGGTATTAAGATTTCCACACACAAATTTTGGGGGGATTCAAATATTCAAACTATAGCACCCTGGAATCTGGATTCAGGCTGAACTGTCCTTGCAAACTGGGACTCCCCAGGTTTGTTCAGTGGCAAAGAATATGCCTGCCAATGAAGAAGACTCGGGAGACGTGGGTTTGATCCCTGAGTGGGGAAGAGCCCCTGCAGAAGGAGATGCAACCCACTCCAGTATTCTTGCCTGGAGAATTCCATGGACACAGGAGACTAGCAGGCTACAGTTCATAGGGTCACAAAGAGTTGGACATGACTGAAGTGACAGCACACACATACGCAATGTCACTGAAGTATGCCAAGAGGATTGTGTAGACCTGATCTCTTTATGATGGAGATTAAAAGTGTGAAGGGGAAATCAGTAGAACTGGACTTGGCACACTAATATTTGGATTGGCTCGTTTTTTATTGCCTTTCGCATAGTGTTATTTAAGACAAAATAACTCAGACCTGAGTAAAGCACTGCTGACCTTTATCATAGCCTTGTTTGAGCCTTGTGAAGCCAAATTATTTTCTCTGGGTGGGTGTTCCTACTGTCAGTGTTTTAACTCAATCTTCATAACAGCCATATGAGACAGGACATGGATTTGAAGAGGAAAGTCTATCTCTCGTTCTTCTATATGTGCACACACACACACACACGATATGTATGTACACATAAACAAGCACATATATATTCACAATCCCATTCATACTTCCACCACAGGGGTTCATAGGGCCAGTATTTCAGAGTGTGGAGATGCCTGGAGATTTTCTCTTAGTGGGAATGAGCTGGTGATTGCTGTATTGAGTGTTCTAACAGTAACTCCTTCGAGCAGTAGTACTCTATATTATTGTTATTTCATTTTTGAATCTTCAGTGTATTTTGTTAACTTTAGTATATAAACATTTTAAGTATCTATACAATGAAAAGTAATGAAGGAAGCTAAAAAAGAAAACAGATTTAGGGAATTACTTGTACTAAATACATGTGAGCTAATGGAATTTTAAATACATCAGTTTTCAGTGGAAACTAAAGCCTAACACCAAATCCCTAAAGAACAAAAGGATACTAACATCATTTGAATAAGAGGAAACTTTTAAAAATATCTTCACTAGCAATTAAATAAATTTGCATTAAAACAACAATAAGCTAATATCTCACAGTTAATGAATTTAAAAGTATGCATAAGAAAAATCATAAAACTTTAAAAGAGGCTATGGAAAAAGAAGCAACCAGACATTGTCCTTGTTGCTATAAATTAATTCTTAAATCTTAAATTCTCAATTTAATTCTTAAAAAGAGGCTTAGCATTAAACACTGAGAGCATAAAAATATAAATGCTCTTTTATAACTGAAGATTCAGCCTAAGGCAAAATTTCACTTTTAATAGTGATTGCCACCTAGAATGCTTACTCCATGCCAGACACTTTTCTAAGTGCATGACATATTTAATCTTTGTCACAGTCATATGAAGTAGGTACTTTCATTGTCTCCATTTTACAAATGAGGAAACTGAGGGATGTCAAGATTAGGTAAATTGCTTAAGATCTCATGGCAGAGCTGATATTTGAAGCTTCTGGGACAGGACTCATAATCACTACATCATGAAAGAAAAGTTTTGTATACAATGATACTTGTAGCATTGCCATTTGTAATGTAAAATAAAAATTGGGAGAAAATGTGTTCGACCAGGGGAATGGTTAAATGTAGTACATTCATTCAATAGATAATTATTCAACCAGAGGTGTTCAGGACTTTTCTTGGTACAGGACATCAATTTCACAAAGGTATTACTTGTCCTTTTGCAAGTCTTCTCTGTGTCTCTATTTCTTGGAGCCATTCATAAATTTCAGGAGGTTCTACCCCAATTGGACACTATTATTTTCTGCTGCACAGTCCATGGATGCATATATCATGTCACTAGATGGACCTAAGTGTGGTGAGAGTGAAATTCTCTAGGAGTATAAATTAACCATCTCCCCTGGATACTTTAGCCACATTTAATGAACTCATACATTTCTTTGACTTCATGTTCCCACCCCTGTTACCTCACCCTAATAAGGCTTTTTTTTTTTTTTAAACCATAAATATATTGATGTAGTAAAAACACATTTCTTGCCTTAAAGGGCTGTGAAGATCTAAGTAGGGTTTTGTGTTGCAAATGTTAGTAAAAGAGTTTCAAAATACTTAATTTTATTTACACAGAAGCAAAAGAAGAAACAAGAGAAAGAAAAGAAAAACAAATTATGTATTTTAACATCTCTTCATATTTTTTCTATTAATTACAAAAATAATACATCCCATTTATTAGAAATCTACCATATGCCAGGAGCTATGCTAACCACTCTACATAAATTATTGCTTTTAATCCTCTCAATTGCCATAAAGTGGGTTTTATTTAGTATTATCATGTCACAAATGAGAACACAGAAGCTTGAAGAAGTTGAGTAACTTGCCCCAGGTCACACAACTCATACATGGAAGAGCCAGGACTTAAACTCAGGTTTATTTGAATCTAGAAATCAAGTAGTGAATCATATCGACACTATCTTTACTTCCTCTTCTTTTCCAAACATAAATTTAGATTTACTTTCTGTAATGTTTAATTCCATGATAAAGTTCTAACTCTGTGGTTACAAATAACATTATAACCAGTTTCCTTGTAAATGAAGAGGGTATCATAAGTTAAAACTAGAAGCGGCTTACAATATTGAATATGAAAAAAGGTGAGTTTTGAAATTCTTTGAAGAGAAACTTGTACGATGAAATAAAGAAGAAAAAACAAGGAATGTAAAAGTGGAATACTCTCTCAACAAATCTTCATACACATTTTACACATAAATTTACTAAAAAGGAATACTGTGTACAATAAATGTTAATGGTAATAGGGAATGAAACTTTGAAATTAAATGTGTACTAATTTCAGCTGCAACCCTTCTTCCAGAAGAATCCTTTTTTCCCTTCATCTGCTGGCTCAACCATATAAAGTTCAGCTGTACACACAGAAATCTCACTTGTACCAAACACTGTCATCTTAACTCAAAGACTGGCACCTGTTTCAGAGTGGGCAATTTTACCATTGGGGCAGCTTCCAATAGTTCTCCTACTTTATCTTATTTTTGAACTTGAGGGGAAAAAATCTGTTGCAAATGTAGGAAAAGACTGATTATTCTGAAGCTGTAATGAGATGGAGCGGGGGTGCAGCTGTTCGCGCAAGATCTTTAGTGGGAGACCGCAACCGTTAGAACAACCGTTAGCGCAGCCGTTAGAGCAACCGTTAGCGCAGCCGTTAGAGCAACCGTTAGCGCAGCCGTTAGAGCAACCGTTAGCGCAGCCGTTAGCGCAACCGTTAGAGCCGCCGTTAGAGGTCCCGCTCCGCGGCAGTCAGCAGGGCAGTGCTCTGGTGGCCGTGAGTGTAGTGAGGAGCAGTCAAGGCCTTCTGCCCTGGCCTTGCAGATCCTCAGGGCCAGCAGGTGAGTTGGAGGGCCTGGGGACAGGCTGAGGGAACCCCACCCGGGGCTCCCCTCCCCTCCCCGATTGATCACTTTTGTTTCTCCCCCGTGTTCTGTCCCCTGCCCCTCGGCCTCCCCCACTTTCTTTCTTTCTTTTTTAAACAAAGCAAAATACCGTGGAGGGTAGGCACTGGAGGTGCACTGGCCAGTTGCCCACTGGTTGGACCCAGGCATTGAAGCAGCAGTGAACCTCTGCCCCATCTCTACCTCAGTGACCTAATGGCGGCGGCAGTGTCCATGGGTCACAGCCCCTGGGACCTGGTCCTCATTTGGGTGGCCTGAGGGGAGGCTGAGTCTCGGGCGCCTGGTTCCCTCAGTGATGATGGCTGGGCAGGGTCTGGGCGCCTGGCACTGAGGGCTGAGATCTGTCTCTTCAGGAGGGTCTGGGCACTGGTGGGAGGACCCAGACTAGGTGTGGGTCCAATGGTCCAGGGCAGGGTGACTGGCTGATGCTGGAAACCTCTCCTTTTGGCTAGGGCGTGGACCTCAGAAAGCCTTGGGACCTTGCCCTTTCTTGTCAGAACAGAGAATAACATTTGTTTTTGTGGATGTTTCCAGAAACATCATGACCTGACTGTGACCTGACTTCAAAAACAAAGGATCTGACACCAGGAAGTTTGCAACCACTAACCATGCCCCTCCCTTACCTTTTCTTTAATAGGGCTTTGCTGAAAGCTTTTGTGGAGTTCCAAGGTTCTTAAGGCATGAGCCACCCATCTGCTTTCGTGGCCCTGTCATAAACCTTTCTGTGCTCCAGATTCAGATGTTTTGGTATTGTTTGACTTCACTGTGCATTGGGCACATGGAGTTGCATTTGATAACAAAGTCATAAAACAAGCAGCCACCATAATTAATTTAAAGCCTGTTTTGTTATATGACTCATCTTGGTAAACACACTTTTACAAGCCAAGATGCTCTTGTCAGTCTCTCACTTCTGAAAGTCAGCCTATTGGTTACAGATGCACTCCAATAGCATGCCTCTGAGTGGTACCCAATCAACAGTAGTTTAACCTGAGTAACCATGCTTCTATAGATGATGTTAACCCAATTATACCTCTGAGAGTTCACCAGTTCCTGAACTTCATGCTTTCCTAAATCCTTATATAATTGACAATGTATTCTGACAATGTGTCTGGCCAGCATCTCTTACTATCACAAACAATAAGTTAGCTTTGTCTTTTTATTTCAGATGTTGAGTGATGGCTTCATTGGACACTTTTGGAGGGTCCACCTAGATTCTTTTAAAGACCCTCATTTAGGAGCATTCCAGGGAACCCTGAGGCCAACAGGTACACTCACTGGGCACATTGTGCCAAAATTCTATTTACTCTTCAGATGTGTTGTCAAGTGAGTCAGTTTCAACAATAACCTCATCGCTGAGTAGTTTCACTGAGTTTGTATCACTAAATTTGTTATTCTAGGATTTGTAACCAAATATGTCTTTGTTTAGGCCTAGATCTTTGTATGGAGCAATTAGATCTTTTGGTTTGAGATGCACCATTTACTAAATTAAGCCTAGGTCTTTGTATAAGACCATTATACCTTTTGTTTTGGAGAAGTGCCATTTAAGAAATGGCTTTTTGCTATTAACCTACTTATTCTGCTGCTTGCCTTGCTTTTGGTGCTGTTTATTTCTTGTGTTTTGCTTTCTCCTAGGTTGGTTGGTTTTGTTTTTTCCCTTTTTTTAATTGGAGTATAGTTGTATACAATGTTCTGTTAGTTTCAGGTGTACGACAAAGTGAGTCAGCTATACATGTATCCTCTCTTTTTTAGGTTCTAGTCCCATGTAGGTCCTTGCAGAGTATTAGCGTTCCTTATGCTATACAGTTCCCAGGTGGTGTAGTGGTAATGAATCCACCTGCCAATGCAGGAGACTCAGGAGACACAGGTTTGATCCCTGGGTCAGGAAGATCCTCTGGAGGAGGAAATGGCAATTCACTCCAGTATTCTTGCCTGGAAAATTCCATGGACAGTGAAACCTGGCAGGCTACAGTCCATGGAGTTGCAAAGAGTAGTGTGTATATGCCAATCCCAGTCTTCCAATTTATCCTTCCGTGTACCCTTCCCCCTTGGTAACCATAAACTTGTTTTCTACAGCTGCAACTGGATTTCTGCTTTGAAAGCTTGTTGCTTTTGAAGTACAAGGGAGTGTTCCATAGGAAACAGCTGGGAGCATAAGCTTGATAAATTTTCAGTGCAAGCCAGACTTGAGGGCTAATTGTTGGAGGTCTGTTAGACCAACAATCAATTTGTGGGAAAAAAAAAAAAAGGTTTGTAAAACTTTGTCTGGGGTCCCCTATAAAACTTTCACAAAGTACTCTCTTGTTAATTTGTTCACTTTGTTCTATCCATACTCAAGTGTCAAGGATTGTGTGGTTTTTGTCAACTTGACAATTCTAGTCTCTGCTTGGTTGGGGAACCCAAATACCCTTCAAAAGCTCACACTGTAAACTGACTGTAGTGGCCTGTCTTCCCTGTGTGTTATGGGTTTGTCTCTGCCAAATCTCATCCTTCTCTTTGGAAGAGCTTCTATTTCTTTTAAGAAGCTCTATAATCTAACTTCTGTATTTTTCTGGGTAAACAGCAAAAAATTGTTTTGACTTAATAATGTCACATTTGACATGTTCAAAGCATTAAATTAATATCATTAAGAAGAACTTTAATAATATTAGGAGACAAAATACCTATAGTCAGATTCTTAAAGTGTCATGCTAAGACCTCAAAAAATTTCTAACTCAAGGCAGTCTCTTTCAAAAACTTTGTAACCTTTTGAAACCTATTCATCTTGCATTTCTTTCTTGTTTTTTACTCAGTTTTACTTGACCTTCTAGATGAGCTATTCGTTTTTGAGGGTTTTCTCAGGGAAAGAATAATTCTATTATAAAATTTCTAGATGAGAAGGTTGAGTTAAAATTCTTATTTAGAGCCAAGTTAAAGGATATAATTGAAGATCTTCCTAAACTTTGGAATACAGACAGAAATTGTTACAGAATTTAGTATTTTGTTACACAGTTAACTTTCTCTATTACATATCTATACCAACTAGTTAGGCTAGTGCTTAGCCTCTCATGTAAAATGCTTAATAAGCTGAAAGGTAGGAAAGAAAAAATTTAAATCACTCAGTTATATAAATTTTAAAAAGTTGTCTCAAGAAAGCTATGCAAATTTAAAAATTGCCTATAATAAGAGAATTTCGGAAATAATATTTTAAGGGAAAAATTGTGAAAAGGTTTATATTGTTAACAAAACAAACATGAAAAATATACTTCAGGAAATATTCTAGAAGCTGGAGTAAACCCACAACTAACGTAGAGAGACAAGTCTTCTCTTGTAAATGGGATCAAATTTTAAATATGTAATTTAATGATAAAAAAGAAAGTGAAATGTAAAATTGCTAACCTAGAAAATAGTCAAGTTGTGGCTAGACACTGCCAGCGTCTTAGGAAGTAAAGGAGCAGAAGCGGTGTTTGACTTGCTAGTTAAAAAATAACTGGAGGGACTCCTTGGTGGCTGAGGCTCCATGCTCTCAGTGTGTGTGTGTGTGTGTGTGTGTGTGTGTGTTGGGGGGGAGGGGTTGGTCCTTGGTCTGGGAACTAACTCCCACGTGATACAACTAGAATCTTGTGTAGTAACGAAGACTCAGAGCCATCAGATAAATAAATGAATAAAAATAAATTATAAAAATAACTAAAAAAGCCTCCATTCCCTGAAAGATTGGGAGCCTGTGGTTAGGAATACCTGTAGATATTGCAAATACAATGGTAATTGAAAGAATCAATGTTTCATAGTAGCTAAGGAATGGTAAAGAATCTGCCTGAAATGTGGGAGACCTGGGTTCAATCCGTGGGTAGGGAATATCCCCTGGAGAAGGGAATGGCTACCCAGTCCAGTATTCTTGTCTGAGAAATCCCATGGACAGAGGAGCCTGGCGGGGTATGGTCCATGGGATCGTAAACAGTCAGACACAACTGAAGAGACTTAGCACACAAGGAATAGAGGGCTAATTATCCCAAATTGGTCCATTACTGTTACTCCAAAGGTGACATTAAGCGCCAGTATTTCCCTTTCCTTTTTCTAACCTCTCAAAGGGAATAATATTGCCTTTTTTGTTGCTTTGGAGCCACTACATCTACCATTAATCTCATCAGATCTCTGAGAATAAAATTTTTAAGTTGTTTGAAATCTAACATAGGTTTTTTATAAGAAAGAAAAGAGAAGTTTTCACTTAAATTAAAAATACCTGACTGTGCCAGGTGGTGAAAGAAGATAAGACAAATTTGAGTGTATATAGTAAAGTATGGAAGGCATGGATTTATTGAAAGCACTAAAAGAATGGGAATGTCTAAGAATCCTAAGTCCTTCCCTAAGTCCCAACCTGTTATTGATACCTTGGAATCATTATCAGAAAGGCATTCCTTCCTTCTCTATGACACAATTCCTATGAATATAGTAGGTAGGGATTTACTTTGCAAATGAAACTACCAGATAAAATGTACTGCAAAGGATTACTTTTAAAAATCCCAGAAAATTTCTTACAATAAATTATAGCTGGTATTGTTAATAATATACCTATACCATGTATGATTTAAGAACTCACTGAAGGAATAACTATGGTCTCAGAATCGCAACAGGCAAAAAATTCCATGGATGTGTGCTAAGTTGTGTCCGATTCTTTGCAATCCTATGGACTGTAGCCCACCATGCTCCTCTGTCCATGGGATTCTCCAGGCAAGAATACTGGAGTGGGTTACCATGTCCTCCTTCAGCGGATCTTCCCAACCCAGGGGTGGAATGCACATCTCTTACTTCTCCTGCATTAGCAGGTGGGTTCTTTACCACTAGCACCACCTGAAAAATTCCATGGACACAGATTTCAACAGATGCCTTAAAAGTCTTCCTGGATTATATAAACTTTTCTTTTTTTGTACAAACATGAGATAATTAACCTATATGGGTTTTAACACTTCAACATGACATACACTTAAGACCTAATGCCTATTATATGGCCAATCCCTTATTACAGTAGCCAGTGCTAGGTTAGTTGCCTCAGAACAGTCATGAACCTCAACTAAAATATATTAAAACATCTTCAGATCTTATACCATGATTACCTTCAAACCTGATGTTATTGTATGCAGTAACTCCTTGTTGCTAATGAAAAACACTCATATTTATACATAAGTTAGTAAGTTATAAGTACCAATATTTTCTTCATCTCATATTACTATCCACTGGAGAAATACTCTTATTCCAGCAACTCTACAGTAACTGTCTGATTGTGTTTTTGAAATTTGATGGCCAAATCAGTTTTTGGATACTTCAGTACTAATTGCTGATTTAATATTCTTTGTGGCTCAAAAACTAAGTACTGACAATATTATTTGCCAATGGGTTTTTTGTCTAAAAAAAGGTAGATCAGCAAACCAGACCAATGAACTAAAGTAGAGATTCCAGGAATAAACACTCACATTCATGGTCAAATAATCTTCAACATGGGTGCCAAGACCACTCAACAGGGAAAGGACATTCTCTTCAACAAATGGTATTGGGAAACCTGGATATCCATGTGCAAAAGAGTGAAGTTAGGCCTTAAACTTACATCATCTACAAAAATGAACACAACATGGATTCAAAAGACCAAACACTAACATTTCTAGAAGAAAACATAGGGGAGAAGCTTCATGACATTGGGCTTGGCAATAGTTTATTGGATATGACACAAGAGAAATCACAGGCAACAAAAGGAAAAATAGACAAATGGGATTACAGTGAACTTAAAAACTTTGTGCACCAAAGAACAGAATCAGCAGAGTGAAAAGGAAGAAAGTATTTGCAGATCATATATTTGATAAGGAATTAATATCCAGAATATATAAAGAACTTCTATAATTAAACAACAAAAAATAAGATAACCTGATTAAAAAATGGACAAAGGACTTCAATAGACATTTATCCAAAGATGATCTATGAATGCCTAACAAGTTTATGAAAAGATGTTCAGTATTACTAATTATGATCATCACAGAGAAATGCAAATCAAAACCACGATGAGATATCACCTCACATCCATTATGATGGCAAATACAGATTTAAAAAACAGAAATAACAAATGTTGGTGAAAATGTGGAGAAAGTGAAACCCAGTGGATTATCGGTAGGCTTGTAAAATGTGACAATTGCTAAGGAAAGCAGTATGAAGACTCCTCAAAAATTAAAAATAGAGCCATCATATGACACAATAGTTTCATTTCTGGGTATATAGCCAAAAGAATTGCAAGCAGAATCTGAAAGTGATGTTTGCACATCCATTTCATAACAGCATTATTCGTAAATAGCCAAAAGGTGGAAACAACCCAAGTGTCCATCAACAGATAAGTGAATAAACAAAATGTTTCGTGTACATACGTGAAAGTGAAAGTTGCTCAGCTGTGTCCGACTCTTTGTGACCCCATGGATTATACAGTTCATGGAATTCTCCAGGCTAGAATACTGGAGTCGGTAGCCTTTCCCTTCTCCAGGGGATCTTCTTAACCCAGTGGTCGAACCCAGGTTTCCCACATTGCAGGCAGATTCTTTTCCAGCTGAGCCACAAGGGAAGCCCAAGAATACTGGAATGGGTAGCCTATCCTTTCTCCAGCAGATCTTCCCGACCCAGGATATCAAACTGGGGTCTCCTGCATTGAAGGCGGATTCCTTACCAACTGAGCTATCAGGGATGCCCTCCATGTACATATAAGGAATATTCAGTTCAGTTCAGTTCAGTCACTCTGTTTTCTTATAAAATCTAATTTCTTACCAAATTGATCAAGTTGTTCCAATGACTGAGCTTTGGCCCTCTCTAGGGCACTTCAAATAACTAAAATAAAATAATAAATACATAAATTAATAGCTAGTATTCTTTCAAAATAATTCACTTTTTAAAACTATAGAAAAAAAGAAGCTTTGAAATCTTAGATACTCTTTAAAAATAAACAACAGATGCGTTACTTACTAGACATCTTCATGATGCCTAAAACAATTGCTGTAATAAATGTCAAAACTCAAAGAAAAAGAAGTATTATAGAAGCTAGTACACTATGCTGTAGATAGTACAGAAATACTTTAGAAGTACTATTAAAATAATTTTAACAGAATAGAGCACTAAAACTGACTAAAGTCCTCATACAAGGACTTCATATAAAAAACAATAACAGGATAATAATAAGTTCATGGGGAAGTTCAAGAATTCCATAATGTAAATTATAAAATCTGGACCCCCAAATTCTTAAACACTAGGAATGATCTGTTATGAGCTCCATGAGGGTAAGACCTAGCAAAAACAGGTCTTAGAGCACCAGAAGGAATGTCAAATTGACATTTGCCAAAATTCTCCATGAACAAATCTGTCACAGTAGGGATAGATTTGCCATATTGGAACACCTTTCTCCTTTACTGGTTTAAGGTATTCTACTTTTGATTTAGCCTCTCCTATTCTCCTTCCTAGAAATAATAATTTGCCTAACTCTAGACCAGAGTTCATAAGCCAAACCTGGCCTGCCACCTATTTTTGTAAATAAAATGAAGTTTTGGAAAATACAGAATTGGAAAACAGCCAAACTCATTTTTTTTTTTTAACATATTGTCTATGGCTGCCTTAGTACTACAACATCAGAGTTGATTCATTGTGACAAATAATGTATGTTTCACAAAGCTAAAAATATTAATATCTAGCCTTTTACAGAGGAAGTTTACTGACCTTTGGCCTGAATAATTATCATCATGACTTTATAATTCAGCTCTTCAGAGCTGTTTTTAATTCAGCTATTTTAATGAATGATATAAGGGTATATTGCTCTAACTTTACCAATAATGATACTCTGTGCATTTAATACATAAATGAAGGAAAATGCCCTGCACAAGAAAAATTACAAAATGAAAACAATAACTTTGTGTCACACCATACTTAGAGACAATTATATTTGTAGCTCCATCAAAACTGAATTATTTCATGAATAGTNTAATACATAAATGAAGGAAAATGCCCTTGCACAAGGGAAATTACAAAATGAAAACAATAACTTTGTGTCACACCATACTTAGAGACAATTATATTTGTAGCTCCATCAAAACTGAATTATTTCATGAATAGTGTTTTACTCTTTTTATAAAAGAATCAAGTTTTTCAATACCAATCTAGGACCAAGATAATTATTCTTTTGAATTATTAGTTAGGTAATTCCAAAAGTATGATTCTTTTGGTAACCGGTGTCCAAGATGGTCCCTGATAATTCTCATTTCTTGATATTCATTCCCTTGTACATCCCTTGTACATAGTACCCCTCCTACATTGTATCAGGATTGGTCTATGTGACTGATAGAGTATGGCAATAGTGATAGTATGTCACTTCCAAAGTTAGGTTATAAAAGATGTGATATCTGCCTTGCTCTCTCTTATATCATTCACTCTAAAGGAAATTAGCTACTATGTTGTGAGCAACCCTATGGAGAGCGATGCCCATGTAGCAAAGAGTCGAGACATCCTGTCAATGGACAATGAGAAACCAAGGCCATCTTGGGAGTCTTCTTGGGAGCAGATCCTATACTCCTATTCAAACCTTCAGCAAACTGTAGCTTTGACTGACGTCTTGACTGCAACCTCAAGAGGAATACTGAACCAGAATCACCCTGATATGCTGCTCCCGGATTCTTGACGCTCAAACAACTGAATACTCTTGTTTTAAGCTGCCAAGTTTGAGATAATTTGTTACAGAACAATAGATAACTAACATAATCCAAACATCCTAGATGGACAGATCTTCTTTAAAAGAGTACAAAAGTATAAAACCTTTGATGGGGAGTGAATCCTGAGAATAATGATCCTACCCAGAGGAGTTAAACTACTAAAGGCATTTATCAAAAATATGTTCCATTACTTTGGCTAACATATTAAATAGTACATCCCCAACTCTGGGACACAACAAACCAGGTTAAATTCTTTAAACCCAGTAGTTATAAATAATAGAATGGCCTTGGATTTTCTTTTGGCCAACCAGGGAAGATTGTGAACCAGGAAGATTGCTAACACTATATGTTATACCCAAGTACTATAATTGATTTGCAATAATCCTTATCTAAACTAAAGGAAAGGTAACCTAACTATCTGAAATAGACTTGAGTATCTTTGAGACTTTTTTCATGATCAGGTCTGGGAAATTTGGGATCATGGTTTTGAAATGTCTTCCAATCTCTTCCAATTATACTTATTTGTCTCACTGTTGTTAAATGTGTATTTTCCAGAGTCTTAGATACTTGAGTACAGCCACTGTCCTTACAGATGATTCAAGAAATTGTTTAAAGACCAAACAAATGAACAGAATAAAATCTTGCTGATAGACATGTAAACTGAAAATAAAATTTCCACAGATGAAACCTCACCTTAAAGGAAAATCAACAATAGTGGTAAAGATCTGCACCATCCATGAAGGTTTCTCCTGAAGCTTTGATTGAATGACAATCAAAAGGAAGTACTGAAAATTAAGAAGTTCCCATAAACTTAGAAAAAGACTGATTTTTGCTATTAACAAAGATAACAAGTAGCCACAAAACCAGTTTTAAACCCATTTACTCAGTCAAGAATAACTTGCCTCAGTAAGCCCCTCATGAAATCAACCTATCAGAGACAGAATCATTCCCATAAACACACCTCTGAGTGCCAATTAATCAACAACAGTCTCACCTGAGTAGCAATGGACTACAGTTGATGTCAACCAACTTAGACCCATGAAAATTTGACAATTCCTGGCACTTCATGTTCCCTCCAAAAAAGACCCTTTATAAGGTCACCAGTTTGCTCTGCTTGAGAGACTATGACCAGCAATACATTCAGCTTTGTCTTTTTATTTCACATATTGAGTGGTGGTCTTAACATCCTTTGGCAAACTCTCCTGTTTCCTTGATAATTCTGTAAAGTAAAAGTGTTAGTCACTCAATTATGTCCAGCTGTTTGCCACCCCATGGACTGTATAGCCCACAAGGNTATTGAGTGGCGGTCTTAACATCCTTTGGCAAATTCTCCTGTTTCCTTGATAATTCTGTAAAGTAAAAGTGTTAGTCACTCAATTATGTCCAGCTGTTTGCCACCCCATGGACTGTATAGCCCACAAGGTCCCTCTGTCCATGGATTTCTCCAGGCAAGAATACTAGAGTGGGTAGCCATTCCCTTTTCCAGGGGATCTTCCCAATCCAGGGATCAGATCCAGGTCTGTATTTCAGGTGGCTCTTTACCATCTGAGCCACCAGGGAACTGCTTCCCATTTAACAGTAGTGATAGTGATAAGTAATGATGAGGAGGAGGAGGATGATGTAAGCTCGACTTATTCCATCCCTTGTACTACACTAAGGGCTTCACATGCATTATCTCAGTAACTGAGGACTGCCAGTGATAGCTGACTACCAACACTTTTTAGATTTTCAGGAAGCTCTCAGACCTAAAGAAGTTATCAGCCTGGCTTATTCAGGGCACCAGTCATTTGCTTTCAATCCCCTGCTCACCCTTCCCCTGTTCTGCTCAGTATCATAGAGGACTGACTCCTACAGACTGAGTTTTCCAGGCTCTTCTGTCTGCTGACTTAAAATTCAGTTCTGCTAATGGGAATCTGGAGTGAAAGATGAAAGGCAGGAAGAGAGGAAGGGAGGAAGGGAGAATGCAGGGGTATCTCTCCTCCAACAATAGCTGTTTCCTTCCATTGCTCCTGCACCTTTGAATGGGTTTTCCTTGGTGGTCATTACTCACATTATTCTGTTTGAAATATCTAGAGCACTTTCTGCTTTTCTGAATCTTTATTGATACAATCAGAAAGAACTGGTGGTAAAAAATATACCAGGTAGATTTGAGAAACTTGAGATTTAATGTTTCTAAATTACTTGTGACCTTGAAAAAAATTAGTTTGTTGTTGCAGTTTTGCTATCTGTGTAAGACAATAGCTCATCTTATTGTCCCCACTATCCCACTGAACTAAAATCTTCTATAATGCTTGGCTTACAGAAATTGGTTAAACATTTGTAAGAGACAGCTTTTCTCTTCTTCCATATAACAGCACTATGAATAGATTTAATGGCTTTGATTACATCTAGAAATATAGCTATTCCCTTAATCAGGTAAAATATATAAAATATCATTTTCTGTGAACAGGGCAAGCTAGATAATTTGAGGGGCCCAGTGCAAAATGAAAAAGTAGGCTCATGTTGAAAAAGGCAAAAAAAAAGTGCCATTAAAAGTATTACAAATAAAGCTTTTCTTTTAAAAACACTTTGTTACTTATAAAATACAACAGAGGTAATAATGGTATGTGAGTAACAATATAACTCACAAAGTACAAAAGATGTTTTTGATGCCATAATTTTATATAAAACAATAAATATAATAATACTTTATCAATGTGGTATCTTAATCATAATTTTGTGGCTTTCTTTTAGGAAAATTCATTTTAAATGTTCTTAAAATATATACCTTTAGCAATTTTATTTTCAATTGATACAATCCAAAGAAACATTACTTGCCCTTGAAAAATGAAAAGTTGAAAACAATTTTTGATAATTTCAAATTTTGACAAGGATCCTTCTGCTGATGCAATTGTTGAAGCTATTAAGAGTATTTTATAATCTATTTTATAGACAATATTTGGGATAAGTTTCTGATAAATTATTTTGAAATAAAAATTTTAGCACCTATAGAGCTAATGAGCTCCATGGAATATTTTTTCTAAAAATATTTCATTCTTCATACAAAATATTTTTGTGTAAGTTGAAATTTAATTAAAAATGTAAATTTATACAATGGCATTTTAATATTTCCTCTGACATTTCTTGTAACTTGTGGAGGTTGTACAAAGAAACCAAATGTGACTTCATAATTTGTATAAAATTTAAAGTGATTGCTTATGCATTCTATCCATGCATGTTCAACTATAAGAAAATAATTTTTAATTAGCTTCCTCATTAATAATTTGTTCATCTGAAGCTTCATAGTAAGTACTATACCTTCCCGTCAAATGTCTTGATCTTTAAATTTGTTTTCTAAGTCTGGGGGTATGTGCTTTGCAGTATTGAAGCTGTTTTCAAAACCTGAAATTCTTTTTTTTAGGGAACAAATTTATTTTGATTTTTCTGAAAATCAGGAGCTATTAAACACAAGTTGACTATCTGGCCATACCAAAAGCAAAATAAAGGTAAAAATCACATTGAGAAATCATGTTTAACCGTAAAGAAACATATTTTAAAATCAAATTTAACACTCCTTCTTCTGTAAAGCAAAACAAGTTTGCTAAACCACAACATTGAAGTGGAGTTTAACTGACATAGTTTTTTTAAATAGAAATTAAAGGAGAAAAAACACTTCATTTCCACCCCAGAATCCCGTCATTTATAAAATAACATGCTCAAATGTTAGTGAAAATAAACAGCTAGTAAACCTGAAAATAAATCTTTCAATGAATGAATTCAGACTCTAACAGAACACAGTACCACCTCATATTTGCAGAAAAATAGCTTTTGTCACATTTAGGTCTTATCAAACACAAATAAATAAAAATGAGGATTAAAAACAAGCTACTGAATCAAAATCTTTCTGTACAGTAGCAACTGTCACAAAATAAAAGGAACCTAGTTCCACAGAGTTGTATGCATAGGGCCAATTTTATTCCTAGAGTCCTGGAGTCCTGTACTATCAAAATAGAAGTATCTTTGTCCTGGAAAAAGTCTGATGAAGGCACCAAAATCTTATTATCTGTGTTCCCCCAATGATACTTAGAATGCCCTTATCATCCTTTCAAGATAACTTCAACTTATTAAGAGTTAACATTCAAGAAATCTTTAAGTAAGTGCCAGCCTCTTCTGCATAACAAGGCCCTTTCTATTCTCTTTGTGTGGGTGTGTATGCTCAGTAGCTTCCACTCTTCCTGAACCCAGGGGCTGCAGCCCGCCAGACTCCACTGTCCATGGAATTTTCCAGGCAAGAATACTGGAGCGGGTTGCTGTTTCCTTCTCCAGGGAAAACCTGGGATTCTAAACACTTCAAAAGATTGCCATGACTCCCTGACCTGCTTTCTTGCAGTGTTCATATGTACAGTTCTATTTTGTAATAATTTACTGACAAAATTTACTGCCTATGTGCTGGCAGTTCCTGTCCCAGCCTCAGGCCAGCGTTAATATTTGTGCAGATGCCCCAGTCAGGCTCTAGGGACGAAGGGGTGAGAGCCCCCACCGTGGGTCCCAGAGGTACCTGTGTGCAGACACCTTCCTTTGTCACATGGCTGTGGTCACTGCTGCCGTGGCTGCTGTTTTTGCACTGAAGTTGCCATCGTTGCTGCCAGTTTGGGCCTAGGTTCTGGCCTGACAGACTTGTTTAGGAAAATAGAATGCTTTTTTGCATCTAAGGTCTTGAAAAGTTGAGCCAAAATACTGCAGAAGAAGAGCCTGGGATGCATAGCTTTATAAAATCACTCGCTAGCACTAGTAGGTGTAAAATCATGGGATGGCAGACACAGAGCTCCCGGTGCCAATGGGAACCCTTAACAGTGCTAGGGGGCCCATGAGAATGCACACAATTGTTTCCAAGATATTCTAACAATATAATTAATGTTATAGGTGACTGAGAATCTTCCGGAAGCAATGATGCAGGAAGATTGGTGAGTTTGGAGCCAAATCTATCCAAAGGTGCATTTTTGGATGAAAACTAGAGAGAAATAATTTTGTGTTGACTTAAATATATACTTCCCCCAGACTATGATATTTCTTTATCTTGAAATATGTGACCACTTTGAAAGAATGAGAGTTTATTTATATGCATGTGTGCCATTCTAGTACCTCTTGAAGATTCTACAAGATTCATTCATCTTAGGTGTAAAATATGTTGCAGTACTTTTCACAGTGGCATATTGAAAACACTTTTCATTATGTAGAATTTCAAATATATGCGAAACTAGAACATAATGTACCCCTGTTATGTATAATGTATAATAAGGGGTTCAGTATAATGGACCCCTCTTATGTACCCACATCCAGCTTCAATAATTTCATGACTGAGTTTTTTATCTGTACCTTCACACATTTTCCTCAATTCTAGATTATTCCCAGACATATAATTTTATCTACAAAAATTTCAATATGTACCTTTAAAGAATTAGACACAGGGACATCCCTGGCGGTCCAGTGGTTAAGACTTTGCTCCCCAGTGTAGGGGGCGCAGGTTCGTTCCCTGGTCAGGGAGCTAAGAACCCACATGCCTGGCGGCCAAAAACCAAAACATGAAATGGAAACAGTATTGTAACAAATTCAATAAAGACTTAAAAAAATTAAAAAATTAGATACCATTATTTCTGGCTTTCCTGGTGGCTCAGATGATAAAGAATTCGCCTGCAATGCAGGAGACCTGGGTTCGATCCCTGGGTCAGGAAGATCCCCTGGAGAAGGGAATGGCTACCCATTCCAGTATTCTTGCCTGGAAAATTACACGGACAGAGGAGCCTGGCAGGCTACAGTCCATTGGGTCTCAAAGAGTCGGACACTACTGGATGACTAACATTTTCACTTTCACTTTCACCATTATTTCACCTTAAATTTAACAATAGTTATTAGCATTATAATATACTTACAGCTGGACTTCCCTGGTGGCTCAGACAGTAAAGCGTGTCTACAATGCGGGAGACCCGGGTTTGATCCCTGGGTTGGGAAGATCCCCTGGAGAAGGAAATGGCAACCCACTCCAGCTCTCTTTCCTGGAAAATCCCATGGATGGAGGAGCCTGGTAGGCTGCAGTCCATGGGGTCGCTACGAGTCAGACACGACTGAGCAACTTCACTATATACTTATAGTTATTATTTACATTTGTCTCTCTTGTTTCATTAGGTGGTTTGGGGATAACAGTTTTGAGAGGATTGCAGAAAGGGCGTCCCAGAAACAAAGGGACAAGTGACCAGTGAGAGTATAGGTATGTTTGCAGGATTCATTTGCCCTTGGCTATTCTCACATGAATCAGTTTTAAAACCAGGACTTGGACCAAAACAATTTATCTTGTTTGATGATTTGGCAGAATCAACCAGGAACATTTTTTTGACAAGGTGAACATATTTCCTCTCATAGAACTGCATTATCTAGAGGTAGCAATTTTTTTTTTTTTAAAACCAAGGCTGTCTGTGAAAAAGGGAAAAGAGAGACCTCTTTAAAGATCTTGCCCTTTCACAAAAGTCTCAGTTGCTCTTTTCACAACCCTAAAAATGGAATTATGGCGTAAAATAAGGGAAAAATTACTCTCAGTTGTTCTAAATGGTTATAAGGCACTGTCCATTATTTTACTTTTGCTTTATTTTTGCTATATGACTTGTCAGGTTTGGGAGGGAATAAAATATGTTCTTGAAATCTGTGGTAATAGATATTTTTTTGATATTTTGATATTTGATACAACTTAAGATGCCATTGACTGTACCATTATGTACCATTAAAAAGTGGGAAAAATCCTATCGACTTCCAGACACTCGACCTGCAACAGCATACCAACTCCAAGTGCCAGCTCTCACTCTCACAGGCGAATTGCCAGGGTCCAGAGTGTTGGGTGGTCTCTGGGGCTGAGGCTGAACTGAGAGCGCTAGAGAAGGACAGCTCTCACATTCTTCACTTAAGAGAGAACCAGGTGAAGTTAGACAGGCAGCTGTGGGATGTAGGCTGGACTGTCCTTTTCTTGCTACTTTTCTGCTTATGTTTCCTACCTCCTCTCTTTTGTGTTTAAGCCCCACTCAGGTTTTTATTAACTTTGTGGCTATAGGGCAAGTAATTTAACCTCTGTTATCTTCAGTTAAGTATTTTAAAATAGAAATATCATACATTGGTTGTGAGGATTAAGATACACTGATTGCCAAGTTAGTCTCAATACACATTAGTTGTTCTTCCTTCCATTCTCACAGGCCATATATTAAATGCCATTTGTACCATTATCTACCGTTCTGCCACCTTAACAAGATAGTAATGATAATAATTTATACATAGTATATATAATAATATATGTATGTGTATATATACATATATATTATATATATTATATACATATATATATATAATAATTTTCCCTAAAAGTTGTTCTGTCATTACCCTATTATCTCAGCTGATTTTCCAACAATCCATTGAAGTGGCTAGCAAAATATTCTCTTTGAAAATTTCAGTTAAATAGTAACATTTAATAGTAACAGTAATAGTCATTGGGCTTCCTGGTGGCTCAGATGGTAAAGAATCTGCCTGCAATGCAGGAGACCAGGTTCGAGCCCTGGGTCAGGAAGATTCCCCTGGAGAAGAGAATGGCAACCCACTCCAGTATTCTTGCCTGGAGAATTCCATGGACAAAGGAGCCTGGCAGGCTACAGTCCATGGGGTCGCAAAGAGTTAGACACAACTAAGCAACTAACAATAGTAACAAAAATATTTTTTAAATTTGTCTATTGCAGAGAGTAAAGAAGAAACTTGATATATTGATGGAAAGTCTAAACTTGTCTAAACTTGCTTGTCTGAAGCAGAGGAGAGATGTCAGTGAATAGATGATTGAGGATAGTTTGAATTATACCCTGAGTACTATTATACTAAAAATGTAAGCATTACTGAACTTGTAAATTATTGCTTGAGTAATATAAAAGATCTTTTGGGGTACACATTTGAATGCCAGATGGTTCTTGACTGTCCAAAAAGTGGTTCCCTTGGTGTTTAGATAGGATCTTCAGCTTACAAGTCTTGGGTGTGTATCTTTTTAAAAAAAATTTATTTTATTTATTTATTTTTTTTGGGTGTGTATCCTGTGTGCTTGTGCTCAGTCGTGTCCAACTCTTTGTGACCCTGTGGACTGTCACCCCTCAGGCTCTTCTGTCCATGGGATTTTTCAGGCAAGAGTACTAGAGTGGGTTGCCATATCCTCTTCCAGGGGATCTTCCCAACCCAGGAATCAAACTTGCATGTCCTGCATTGCAGGTGGATTCTTTACTTGCTGCTCAGGGAAGCCCTGCTTATATATGTCTGATATCCCTGATAGAGTTTCTGCCAAGAGGTATTATGTATCCAATAGTAATAGAATGCTAAAGTACCTTCTAATAAAACAGTTCTTTCATGTTTTTATTGGCTATTTCTAGTCTAAACAACTGAGGCACACACTTAGGGAAAAGCAAAGCATATCTAACACATAATCTGGCTGAGAGCAGAACTCCTAGGAAATGAGATACTCAACAGTGAAACACTTGTCTTTAATGTGAGACTTCTCTTTGTTTGAAGGTGAACTACTTGGATGAATTGTTTTAGTAATGTATTTGTAAAGAAAACATTTAACCATTTTTCTCAAGGAAGCCCATAAAGTAGGGTTTGTTGTTGTTCTTCAGTCGCTAAGATGTGTCTGACTCTTTGTGACCCCATGGACTGAACCCTCCGGCGCCCCTGTCCTCTACTATCTCCTGGAGTTTGCTCAAAATAAAGTAGGGTAATAGCTCCAAATGCAAAAGCTTCAGAATAACATATTAAATGTTCTGTTTGATAATGTAAATGTAGTATTTCAAAAAGCTAATGATAAAAATTCCCCTGTATCTGGATTTAGATTGTCCTTTGCCTGATGTGTCAGTGGAGTTAGGTGTCTTTTTTTCCCCTAAGAAGTGTCTGTAAAAGTCCAGGAACCACAGCAGGAAGGTCATGTGGGCCTGGGCTTCCTTTCACCTCAAGACCAAAGGAGTGGGATCTGTAATATGGATATAGACAAGCTTGAAGCAGCATTAGATGGCTTGGGCGATTGGTGTTCTACCCCGGAGTTAAGATGGTATAACCTTGATTTGGGGCAGTGTTTGAAGACTCACATGCTTGCCCTAGGTATCTTTGATACAAGGAAGGTATTACCATGAAGGAAATGGGTGCACCTGACATCCAGAGATGGGGAAGGGAAGGGCCTTGGCTGGGGAGAGGTTTTCCTTCTTCCTTGGGGGCAAAGAGGGACTTGAGCTTGGACTCTGAACTGTGGAGGTATCTAAGGATTCCTGTGGGTAGAGTGTACACAGCTGGCTCCTACCGCCATCAGGAAAGGACCTGTGAGAGCTGAGAGAAGATAGTGAACTTGTGTTTGGGCTGTGACTCTCAGAGTAACCATCTTTAGTCATAGCTGTGGGCTACCTTCCTGCTGTATTTCTGTTCTAATCTTTCAGTGAAGCCTTATTTGAAGGGATGGCTCCTTCTGAGATTGTCTTGGGGCATTGCAGAGGGCTCTGTGTCCATCTTGAGGTTGAACAGTAACTGGGAAGGCAAAGGCAGCCTGGGACAGCTGGCGAGGTGTGGGCAAACATGCTATACGCAAAGTAGAGCCATTATCCAGAGAGCAGCTGGCTCGGGGAGTCCCAGGGTTTGTGGACGCTGTCATCACTGCTGCCCTTGAGAGGGCGGCCCAGTGAAGGATGAGACTTTCTGCTTTTATAGGGATGTGGGCCAGGGTTATTTGGATGTGGAAAAGAAGGCCGACTCCCGAAAGGTGGAGAACCTAGAGGAATATTTGAGTTGTACAGCCTTCAGTAGTCAACTCAGATACCTTCTCTAAGTCTTCACGGACTGGGGTGTGCGTTTAGCATCCTTCTTAGTGATCCGTTAGCACCCTGGGTGCTATTATTTATGCAAATAATAATAACAACTAACACTTATTGAATGCTTACATTGTGCCAAACAGTGAATTAAGTGCTTTACATGACTTTTCTCATTCAGGACTTTGTTGTCCACATTTTTTCAGATGAGGAAACCGAAACTGGGAGAAGTTATGTGGATTTGCCTCACATCCCACGGCTAGGAATTCATGGAGTAGAATTTGAGCCTCAATGGTCTGTCCCAGAACTCATGCATGCAGGAGTTAGAATGTACTCATTTAATGTCTCTATTCACTTAAAAAAAAAATACTATCCCTTTTCTTAGAATTGTATCTGTTTTTTGTCTGTATACTCCTATCTAGTGCCAGGTATATAAGAAATGTTTGGCAGATATTTATGGAAAGGTTGAATGGATGACAGACCCTAAAGAGCACAATTACATACTGAAGCTCTTGGCATATAATAATTACTTAATAAATGTTAGCTATTATTATAATTTTTAGGAATAAAAATACATTTAAAAGAACAGTTGTGCATCATATACCTCATTTTTTCAAATTTTTAATTGCATATTTCTACCCAATTTTAGAAAGTAGTGAACACTTAATTTCTATGCAGTATTTTGAATATATAGGAGTTAATTGTCATTTTTGATAGAGTTTTTCCCTTGAAATTTGAGCTGTGTTTTCTTGAAATATGAATTTAGTTGAGTAGGAAAGAGAGCTGCTGCAAGTTCAATTTAAACAATCTACAATGTGAGAATATAGATGACATTAAATGTGAAAGAGTTTTTTATCATATGCTTCCAGCCACCACAGCCTGAGGACAAAAGCCAACTGTCAGGTTAGAAGAATATTGTGATTTTTGTATAATAATACAAGCCTCAAGTTTTTTCATTTTTTGGCTTCATAGTCAATCCGTTCCCCTTATTCTTACTACAAAAGTATCTAAATTGATTTAAAGTTTTGTAACTGGAATATTGTACTATGGTGCCAATTTACTTATGGCTTTGAAATATCCTGATGTGGATATCTTTGAGGAGGTAGGTAGACTGAATGAATTATATTATTGTTGTTGTTGTTTTTATTGTTATTTTTTATCCTTTATCCATTTGTGGCAGAGCCTGCTTATTGCACATCACAATATCCATACTCTTTCCTCCTGAGTAATATAATCCTGTATTTATGTGGGGATGATACATCCAGCTACAGGACAGCCTCCCTTGCAACAAACTGTGAATGTGATTATGGTATGAAATTCTATTAGTGATATATAAATGGGAAAACTGTGATTTATATCTGAAAAGTCTCCTTAAAAGGGAGAGAGTAGACTCTTTATTTTCTGAAAC